TGGAATCTAGTGCGGCGGTGGGTTCCATTTCTTATCATTATCCAATTTAATCTCTTCCCCACCCAACCCAACCCTACCTAAAAATTACTTCACTTTCCCAAATCAATAATAATATTTTCTTTCTTTTCTTTTTCTTTTTATATATATTCTCAAGAAAAGAAAAAAATAACAGGAAAAAACCATTTGTGCTTTTACTTTACAACCCATTCATTTTCTCTTTTACGTAAGGAAGTCCAATAATTTGGTTATTGAACTCGATTGGATGGATTTCACTTTCATGATATCTTGAATTTTTCGTGAAAAATAATTGGCTCTTTATTCGTGAGGATATTGTGTTTACTGTTATTGAAAAATTAAAAACCATTGTTTATCTTTTTAACTTCTATTTTTGTATTTCTCTCTCTCAGTTGTAAAACATTTAATGATGGTGAAGATAATATTTGATTCTCACTTATAAAGCGAAAAAGGACTACCATCTAGACAGATAAATCCCAATTTCTATGAATTATTAAAGGAAAAAAACAACAAAAGGCTTTTTTCATCGTTGTTTTCCTAAAAGTTTACCCTAGTTTTATGTTTTTCACTCTGAATTTTATTATATGCAAATTAAAACAATACTTATTATTTTGAGCCGTTGGGTTCAATAGTCCATTTACTCCCTGTTTGATAAGTGATAACCAGCTAATTTCACTCAAAATAATAATAATAATAATAATAATAATAATAATAATAATAATAATAATAATAATCGGCTTATTATTTACTCTTTAAAAGCAAGTTAGTTTAATATACCAATTTTGTTTCTTTTAACGAATATGTCTATAAAATCTTAACTAACTCTCCAAACAAATTTTCAAATGGCTACTTTTTGCTTCCCTCTTCTAAAAATATCACTCTCTCAATCTGAAGAAATGGATATTTGGTTTATATTCAATCTAGGGATGGACCACATCAATTAAAGATAAATCTAATTTAAAAATTTATAGATGTAACTGAAAATTCACCAAACAACTATATGAGATATTTATATCAATATAGATATAAATATATAAATATTTTGAAATATAATAAAATGTTCTAAAATTTACACAAATATTATAATTAAAATCAAATCTAAACTCAAAGGTAGAGGTAAAACAAGTTAAGAAAAGTCACGCTTGTACTATATTAAAAAAAAAAATGTATACACCAATTTTATGCTATATAGTAAAATTTCTTGAACTCATAAGTGAGAAAAAAAAACGAGTGAAAATATACTTTAATTTCTCCGTGTTAATTTGCTGCTATTATTTATTATTTATTATTTATTTTTTGAGGAAACAAAAACCATTTTCTTTTACTAACTTATCACACTTTTTTGTTATATATTTGTACTCATTGATCTCTCTTTATACAACACATACCTTTTTATTAGTCTTTTTATACACAATTTTTCCTTTACAACCTTGCTATTCATTTTCAACAGCCCACGGATTATAAAAAGGCAGATATTTATTTAAAAAATATATTTTTTTTCTTTTCTTTTTTAAATTTGTGAATTAAATAAGTGTTAAGATTTTTTTTAGTAGGTGTCAAGATAATTTTTTAAAACACATGGAATACTTTTTTTTGGTTTAGTTAGGATTCAAAACATCTTGCATTTTGAGAGAGGATATATACCTTATTTAAAATAAAATTAGTAGATTCATATTCACATAGATTAATATATATTAATAGTAAAAAAAATTTAAAATATTCAATTAGAAAGCATGGTGGTTTAATATCATAAGCTCTCGTCTCAGTCGTTTAGAGCATCCGTTTAGTAAGCGGGAGATCTTGAGTTCAAAATACAATCGCTTTTAAATAATAAACAATAAACCTATGGGATAACTCAATTTTTAAAATAATACAATATTAGTTTTAATGCAATATTAAATTTAGTTTCATCAGCTCTCGTAGCTCAGTTGGTTAGAGCACCCGTTTAGTAAGCGGGAGGTCTTGAGTTCAACTCTCAACGAGAGCAATTTTACTATTTTTAAATAATAAACATTAAACATATTTGATAACTGCACTCCTGTAATAATACATTAAACAAATTCTATATATATTAAAAAGTATTTTAACCTACAATATATATTATGAATAGCAATATCCGCAAGAAACATATGCATAATTTTTAATTCCACCTAAAAAGGGAAAAAGGCAGTGTGTCCGACGTGGAAATAATAGAAAAATTGTAGTCTTGAGAGATTGTCTAAATTTTGTTTTCACCTAAAACTTAAAACATGATTAGTGTGTCCAAATTTGAAAAATCAGATTGCATCATAATATATATATATATGATTTATACATAGCCAATTAAATTGATTGTTTAATTGCAACAAGAAATATTATAGGGCAAAAGAAAGAAAAAAAAAGGGTAAAAATAAAAAAAAAACCTTGGATTAGCTTTTAATGGTGCATTCCCTTTACTACCCACGATAAATGATTGAACCCATATTGGACCGACACTCTGCATTAAATACCCAATTTATTCCATGTTAGTTTCCAATTTCAGTTTGTGGCTTCCAGTAACAGTTTAGTCCCTAAATTTTAATATGTAACAATTTAATCTATGTAACTTAAAATTTGTAACAATCTAACCTATACTAACGATGAATAAAGAATCTGAAGTTTTTTTCATATCAATTGTTTGTTGAACCTTGTGAATTGAAAAATCTAATAAAATGATTTATATAAACACATCTGATCCTTTATCGATTTATTGATTTACGTATATGAAAAACTTAACAAAAATGTTAGAATAGAGACTAAATCGTTACCAACTTTTAAATTACATAGATTAATATATATGGACTAAATTGTTAATAATTTAAAATTAAGTCGAGAGGAAAATGAATGTCCTTGAAAAAAAAGTTTGAAATTACCCAAAACTGAACCCATCAGATTACAAAAATTCTACCAACAAAATTAAAAATCTAACAATAATAAAACCTCAACAATTTAACACCCGAGCCAACCAAAAAAGAACCAAACCCCATAGAAAAATGTTAAAATTGTAGCGAATACATACTTTTTTTTATTTATTTTTTATTTTTTAGCCACACAACTTGTACTCATTAAAAAAAATCTCAAGTGTATCCAAAGTTGGCCACAATTCTTCAAGAAAATAATAACTCAACAAAATAAATGAAGTGTATTAATCTTATTTTCTATTCAAGTTGAAGGTTTAATTTGATAAAATTAAGACTTTAATTTTAAATTTGACTCGTTTTGTTAAATGCTAAAAATTTATATTTATTTATTATCCTTTTGGTTTAATCTCCTCTCCTAATGACATCTTTGATATCTAATATTTGGTTAATATTATAATTGATTTGATTAGTTTTTAGTATGCAGCAGTACACAGATGTACTAAAAGTTACCGGTGCTTGAGTTATGGTTGGCTATTCATTTTTTTTTGGGGTTCTTTATAGAATAAATGGGGTATTAATTCTATTAGTTAGATTTATATAAGAAGAAAATTTGGTGATTAAAATATTGTAGGACCAAGAAAAACATGGTTTAAAAAAACTAAAGTCACACCATTATAAAGAGAGTTTGCCTTATTTATTTATCTTGTAGAACATGTATTTGAGTTGGTCAAATTTACCCTTCTAATTTAGTTTATAAATCAATAATTGAGTCAATCTTCCGCTCTAAATTTCAACTTAAGCATGGCTCAATCTTCAAAACAAAATAGTAACGGTCCGATTTTAAAATGACAACTTTACCCAAATGATATACATTTGTAATATATATGCAATATATGACTACTAATATATCTATGTGATATATATCTGATATACTATTGATATATTTGCAATATGTATGTAATATACATATGATATACTGTTGATATGAGCATTTGTGCAATATGTATGTGATATACATCTAATATACTATTGATATGAGTGTCCGATATACTACTGATATAAGTGAAAATTTTTGCTATATTTAAAAATTTAAATCATGTGACATATTTTAAAATTCATAAAAAAATTTTGCTGCCCAGTGTAATTTTTCAAGAAAAAAAAACCATCAAAGATTAAACTATCGATATGAGTAAAAACATCAAAATTTCAATTATATGATGGTGATTAATATCAGCATCTGACATATATTCTTTCAAAAAAGTTATGGAAATCACAAAAGTTCACAAAAATAATTTCAGTTAATAAATTAGTATTTCACCGAAGTAATAAATTGTAGTATATATTTTCACCATATATTAAAAATATATAGTAACATAATGTACGAATAGATCAAATGTTCAACTTTAAAAGAAGGTAATAGGTATTTTTTTAATCTTCAAATTTACAGGGAGTAGTGATTATGAAGAAAGCGAAGGGCAAAATTGGAATGTTGAGTGAGGTAAAACTTAAAAGGGACATATGGGTAGCCTGCATTAAATTCCTCCACATCAGATTTGCAGATTGCCCCACCTTCCTTATAGCCCCATTCTCCACACCCATAAATTCCACACTTTCACAGAGAGAGGGAAAGAAGATTGAAGAAGCCAAAATCCAACTCAACATTTGCTTCAATTTGGAGCTGTCATTGCAATTCCAGAGCCATTAGTCCCAGCCATGGGTGAAGTAAGCAAAATTTCTCTCACTTCACTTATGTTTTCCATTTTTCTTCCCTCAAATTTCTCCATTAATTAATCTCTTCTGCAAAAACATGCTCTGTCTCTCAATTAATTACTCCAACCATGTCCAAAACTAGGCACCAGTCATTCATGGGCATCTACTAAAACCTTGCAAATTTTTGCCTTTTATGGATACCCTTTGCAGGAGATCAAGAAGAAGGAAGAAGCGGAGGAAAAGAAGGAAGAAACCAAACAAGAAAGCAAAGAACCAGCTGAATCAGCAGCAGCAGCTGAAGAAAAGAAACAAGAGAATGACAAGAAGAATGAAGAGGAGCCACCTCCAGAAATCGTCCTCAAAGTTGATATGCATTGTGAAGCCTGCGCGAGAAAAGTCGCCCGAGCTCTCAAGGGCTTCCAAGGTCAGTTTTTCATTCTTTTCTGCGCAGGCTAAAAGCACTTCTTATATAAGCACTTTCAGAATTCTAAGCAACTCTTTGAAACTACTAACTAATGAGTACTTTCATAGTATCTAGTTTTGACGATAAGGGGGTGTTTGGTTGAAGGAGTGGAGAGCGTGGCGACAGATAGCAGAGCGGGGAAGGTGGTGGTGAAAGGGAAAGGGGCAGACCCATTGAAAGTGTGCGAGAGATTACAGAAGAAAAGTGGGAGAAAAGTGGAGCTAATCTCGCCATTGCCAAAGCCTCCTGAGGAGCAACCTAAAGAAGATGATAAACAGCCCAAGGAAGAGAAAAAGGAGGA